TACAAATATGATAGAGATTATTACTGAAAGAGTAAGTTTAAAGAAGTGGTGCCTAAGAAATGGGGAGTCTTAGCTGTACATGTTTTATTAAGTAAGTAAGAGAGAGAGAGAAAGAAACAAACAAAAAAACAAATTGAAGCAAATATGACAAGATGGAAACATGTAAAACCTGGGTGTTTTATACACATGGCATGATTTCATTTGGAATTAACAAAAGTTACAAATAAAGATTCCTGGATCCCACAATCCCTGTCCAGTATTGTTGGATGCTAAGTATTTACTAGCACATTATTATATAAAGTGTAGCATAGCAGTTGAGTTTAGGATTTGGATCTAGGTTGCCTAGGATCAAATAATAAACTCCACAATTCAATGGATATACAATCTTTAGTAAGTTGTTCAATACCTCAATACCTTATTTTTTCCATCAGTAAAATGAGGATGAAAGAACCTACTCCATAAGGTGATAAGAATTAAATAACCTGATACACATGAAGTGCTTCAGATGGAAGCTAGCTCTTATAATATAAATACTGAAAAACCTATGAAGCAACCACTTAACATTAACTGGTAACTAAACATATGACCAAAGACATTTGTCAATCCCAAATTCACAAATACTACTGGCATATTTGTTTTCTCCATAAAAATAAAAGCCATCATTAGTTCTCATCACATCTTAATGAAGAGTATTAGCAGTTAGAATTTATCAAAGAAACGTGTGTGTGTGTGTGTGTGTGTATGTGTATGTGTATAAAAATCAGATGGCAATAGTTTAACCAGTGACAGGCTACTGAGTTACTCAAACCTAATTCATCGGTTTTGGATACTAAATACTGAGAATTATATAGTGAAAAATTAAATGAAAATATATTCAAATGTATTCTATTTGATTTCTGAATCTGCTATATCAAGGGATATACACAAATATCCATTTTTTAAAGCAATCCACCAGCGTTCCAATGTAGAAAACTTAATATGACCAACAAAGCCACACACTAGGCAGTATGGTACAATGTGAAGAATCTTTTTTTTTTTTTTTTTTTTTACAGGCAGAGTGGACAGTGAGAGAGAGACAGAGAGAAAGGTCTTCCTTTGCCATTGGTTCATCTTCCAATGGCCGCCACAGCCAGCGCGCTGCGGCCGGCGCACCGCACTAATCCAATGGCAAGAGCCAGGTACTTATCCTGGTCTCCCATGGGGTACAGGGCCCAAGCACTTGGGCCATCCTCCACTGCACTCCCTGGCCGCAGCAGAGAGCTGGCCTGGAAGAGGGGCAACCGGGACAGAATCCGGCGCCCTAACCGGGATTAGAACCCGGTGTGCTGGCACCGCAAGGCGGAGAATTAGCCTAGTGAGCCGCGGCGCCGGCCTGAAGAATCATTTTAAATCCAGCAGATATGGATATGGAAAGTACGGCTCCAGGCTCAGCATTGACAACACCAAATACTTAAAATGCAGACAAAAATATAGAGTTAACAAAGAGGGTGCTGTGTGCAAGAGGGTAAGGGGGTGATTGATGGACTAACATATAGTTACCACTTTGTGTAAGGGGACTGTCCCTTCCTTTCATAAAACTGGGGGATGTCTCTCTGTCTCTACCTCTCTCTGTAACTCTGTCTTTCAAATAAATAAAATAAATCTTAAAAAAAAAAAAAGAAAAAAGTTGGGGGATGTTGAGAGCAAATATCTCCCATGTCTCCTTTCTCAGGAAGCTACTGGAAGACATGCTGCACATAAATGAGAGAGTAAATCTAAGAAAGATATAAGATAAAGGAGGTGGGGAAATAGGGAATCCAACAAAAGGGAAAGGCAAGCAATCCTCAGGATGATGGCAATGGAGCTCCAGGATGACAGCTGAGTGCTAGCTTGTAGTACACAGCAAGTGCAGACTGAACAGAGCACACTACTCTAGGAGCCGTTTTCTCCAGATGAATGACATTAACAGGATTGCTAGTATGTCTGAACACACAGAAGATACTCAAGAAAATAAGAATGTACTAAAGGGTAAGAATAATACATCACAGGCCGGCGCCACGGCTCACTAGGCTAATCCTCCGCCTTGTGGCGCCGGCACACTGGGTTCTAGTCCCGGTCGGGGCGCCGGATTCTGTCCCGGTTGCCCCTCTTCCAGGCCAGCTCTCTGCTGTGGCCAGGGAGTGCAGTGGAGGATGGCCCAAGTGCTTGGGCCCTGCACCCCATGGGAGACCAGGATAAGCACCTGGTTCCTGCCATCAGATCATCGTGGTGCACCGGCCACAGCGCGCTGGCCACAGCGGCCATTGGAGAGTGAACCAACGGCAAAGGAAGACCTTTCTCTCTCTCTCTCTCACTGTCCACTCTGTCAAAAAATAAATAAATAAAAAATTTAAAAAAAAAAGAATAATATATCACTCAGCTGTGAACAGTGGTTACATCTTAAAAATGTAAATACATTATCACAGGCAATAATGGAAACCCTCAATTAATATATAAGTGAACAGAACAGAACAGAAAGGGGAATAACAGAATACATTGTGTTAAGAAGCGGGGCCAGTGTTGTGGCAAAGCAGGAAAAGCCACTGATTGTGATGCAGACATTCCGCATGGCCACCAGTTAGTGCCCTGCCTGATCAACTTCCAATCCAGCTCCCAGTAATGTGCCTGGGAAAAGCAATGGAAGATGGCACAAGCCCTTGGGTAACTGCTATCCACATGGGAGACCCAGACGAAGCTCCTGGCTTCTGGCTTAGGACTGGCCCAGCCCTAGCCATTAGAGCCATCTAGGGAGTAAATCAGATGGAAGATCCCCCTCCCTGATAGATAGATAGATAGATAGATAGATAGATAGATAGATAGATATATTACATATCCCTCTCTATTAATCTTTCAAATAAATAAATAAATCTTAAAAAAGGAAGTTTTGTATTAAGAATCAAAGAAACAACGCTTAATAAATGCAATTAAGCACATTATTTGAAGATATGATAATACATAGCAAAAAATATCTGCTAAAAGATATTGAAAGTGCTTGTCCTGGGGACAGAAAATGAGGGGAAAGATGTCAAAGCAATATTTTAGTTCAGGAAAAAAAAAACTTTATAGGTCTACTTTACTTTGAAAACTTTTAAGTATGTGGGGCTTTGAGAAAAATAAAAAGAACTCAAAATCTAGCACAGTATCTGCCTCATAAACACTCCAAAATAAATGTTAAATCATTTTATTAGTACAATGACAAGACAAATTGTTTTTCATATCACCAACACATTCATGCTAGGAATAACAATACTGCCTCTCTTATAAATGCTACTTGGTATTTTCTAAATACATACTTACTATGCTTGAAATAAGGAGGCATGCTTAATAAAATTAAAAAATTATAAAACATTCCAGTTTTTTACTAAGCAAAGTATACCTAATTTTATATAATTTACACACAAATTTTAATGTTAGTAATACAAAAATGAAATCATTTTACTTCTTGATATTTAACAACAAGACTTCAATCTCCAAGACATGCACTACAACAATTTAGTAGGTGTTGTCATCAATATGATGGTCTTGGCATCTTATATATTATGTTCCCACTTTAAATTAAGTCCTATTAACTAAAACAAATAGACAAACAAAAACAAAGGCAATGAGTAGAAGGCTCATAAAAAAGAAATACAGTAAATAACAATGATATACCGACCTTATTTGTAATGAAAATACAAATTTAAAAAATGACATACCATTTTTCAGTTGTAGTGGCAAAGACTAAACACAGTGGAAAAAAATAATACCTATAGCTGACCAGGAATACATAAGTGGGGAATAGTCACTAACATACTACTGTCTGGAGGTATAAATTGCACAATCTTTTAAAGAGCAATACGGCAATACTTACCAAGCTCTAAAAATATTTAAGCACTTTGAGCCAATTATTCCACTTCTAAAAACTTTCTTAAGGACATAATTAAGCAAGTACCTCAAAATGTAAGATATTTACTGCATCACTGCTAACAGTAATAAATCACAACAACCAAATGTCTAACACAGAGGAAACAGTACATTGCACCACATCTTTCTTTTGGCAGGCAATGGACTTTGCCATTTCTGCCAAAACTGCCATAGCTTCTTCGTTTACAACAGTCTACTTTTAACAGAGTCTAAAAATGTTAAACATTGGCTTTCTCTGTGACTTGATGTGAGTCAGTGGAAACGGGGGGAAGTTTTCTAGGGGCTTTTGGAAGAAGTCTTCCTAAATGACAAACAAATGGGGGAAAATGGTATGTCCTGACTTCTAGATGCAGATTTATGAAGATTTAAACCAGGAAATTAAATAGCAGCTCTTGTGATTGGGAGAGGAATGAGACCAAGGTAAAAACCAATAAACTGAGGCCAAGTCAAAAAAAAAAAAAAAAAAAGAAAAAGAAAACAAAAAACCCACATCCTTAATGACAATTTTTTGAATTGTGTGTTACATGAAATAATAATGCCAGTACATTTGTTACCTCTCCCCAAAGCACCCTGATATCAGTTGTACAAGTGAATACTTTAGAATCACTTTAAGTCATGTCACAGAGGTAAACTCAGGAACAGTTTTTGTACAGTGAAAACTAAATTATAAATCAGCATGTTCTCATTTTTTAAAAAATTTTTTAAAAAGTTAATATGGATTCATTTGCCAAGAAAAAGGTCTGGAATATACTCAAGGTCTAAGAGCAGTTATATCTAAATGATAGAATTTAAATGTTTCCTTTTTGCAAATTTGTATTTTCCATTTTTTCTATATTGAGTACAAATCACTTTTAGATTCTATTTCTAGCAATTCAACCTAATTTTAGAAAAGAGATAAATATATATTTTAGTGAGCTACTGGAACTGAAGTTTGCTTTTTAAGAAAAAAAATTTTCAATTTTCCTTAAGACCATTTTCTGCAATAAAATTTGCTACTAACAGGCATCTTTTTTTCTGTGAATATGGAAAATTATACTTTTTGTTTCCCTTTGTTAGGAAATTATATCATGACTTTGTACCATTTCGTATTGGAATTTCTTCTGTGAAACAAAAACAGTCCCAAAATGAAGGATCTTCAGGTGTCATAGGAACAGCAGATGATATTAAATCATTAAAGGTGAGAATAGTAAACTGCCTCTGGCTTGGTTTAGAATCATCTAGAGATGGAACCTAAAAGGGGAAAAAAATTACCCAATTATTATAACTGTGTATCACACTCATAAATTTTAAATTATGAAATTAAGACAGACAGAAATACACTTCAATAGTATTAAATTACAACATAGTGGGATTTCTGGAATACTGTTTTTACTTCTCATGTAAGAGTTACCAATGTAACAAATAAAAATAAATGAAAGAGAAAACCTGTGGTATTTATATAACATGTAGATATACTGGGCCTCAAGTCCAGAAAAGTTAGAATCAGTAGAAAGAATTTCAAAGAGATCCCAAATCCTGTAATTTTAACTAGAGATGAGGTATTTTGATAGAGGTGTCCCATAGTGGCTCAATTCTAAGAAATACCAGAGTGGATCCATCTAAAGGGTCAATCTGAAAAAACTGCCATGACTGTACAGAGATGGAACACATTTCTTTAGGAAATTATTAAACATTAAATTTAACTGTATCTTCTACTCTGAAATAGAGCCCTTATTCATGACTCAAGAGCATAGATCTTAACATTCTATACATTGTAGTACAGAATGAACATTCCTGATCTGAAAATCTGAAACATGTAATACTACAAATTCCAAAATTTTTTGAGTGTGGACATGATGACACAGCAAATATCCCACACCTGATCTCATGTGACATGTCTTATTCAAAAAACAGACACAACAAAAATGATGCAGAAAATTACCTTCAGGCCACGTAAATAAGATGTGTATGGAACATAAACGAAGTCAGTGATTAGACCTGGGTCCAATCGCCAAGATACCTCATTATGCATATGCAAACATTTCAAAATTTTTTAAAACTCAAAACCTGAAACACTTCTGGTCCAAAGTACTTCAGATAAGGGATACTGAATCTGTATAGAAGTACTTAAGTTTTATACAGTACTATAACTAGGTGTACTACTTATTTAATATAATATATGTCTCATGGTTTTGCTGTAGTATGGTTATCTCAATTCTATATTTGGGGAAATTAAAGTTCAGGAATATCAAATGATTCAATTTGCTTACACAACACAGGGTAAATGGCAGACCTGTACCTGACACCTAGTCTTCCCACTATGACAATGCTGCCTAAATAGATTCTAGCCAGGAAAATAAAGTAGTACTACTGAATGGCCAAATGTTTAGAAAACTATAAACCGCCTCAAAAAATGTAAGGTATTTGTAATGAGTTTAAAGCTAAGACCCAAGAACAGGTAAACTGGGTCAGAACATCTTCATAAAAGATACTAATTTTAATATGCCATCCCTTTTTAAGAAACAAAATCTATGAAGAATTTTAATACTTGAACTAATCATTCTATTTTTTTGAGAACTAATACTGCAATACACATTGATCAAGCCATATATTTTTTTTTTTTTTGACAGGCAGAGTGGACAGTGAGAGAGAGAGAGACAGAGAGAAAGGTCTTCCTGTGCCGTTGGTTCACCCTCCAATGGCCGCCACAGCCAGCGCACTGCGGCCGGCGCACTGCGCTGATCTGATGGCAGGAGCCAGGTACTTATCCTGGTCTCCCATGGGGTGCAGGGCCCAAGTACTTGGGCCATCCTCCACTGCACTCCCGGGCCATAGCAGAGAGCTGGCCTGGAAGAGGGGCAACCGGGACAGAATCTGGAGCCCTGACCGGGACTAGAACCCGGTGTGCCAGCGCCACAAGGCGGAGGATTAGCCTAGTGAGCCGCAGCGCCAGCCTCAAGCCACATTCTAAATGTAGCTGTATTCTTCAATCACTTCCAAACAATCCCAACTACTATGCAGACTGAGAGTTTTTTGACCCTAAATTGTTTGACTACTACACAGATGTGATCAAACTGAGACTGATGTTATGCTATATTATGACACAAGGTCTCTCACATTTGAAATTATAAGTATAAAGATTGAGGGCATTCAATAATGCAGGGTAATTCATTATTCCCCAACCTTAAACTTGGTACCCTTACAGTCAGCATAGCCCCAATTCACCAGGTAATAAATTATTGTTAAAATGACTGAGTGATTGCCTTTTATGTCTATTGAAAATATGAGTACTCTAACAGTATTATCAAATTATCCTGTATAATAATTAACTGTATATGAATATAAAGATGCACTAACATAGGAGTTTTAATGAAATCTCAGATAAAGACTTGATAAACACTTCTTTATCTACACTCTTAAAATATATAAACTTCTAGCCTGATATAAGGCAAATGACTGTTTTTATCAATAGAGAATACTGATTTATGCTTTTCAGAATACAGAGAAATCTTAAAATCTTACATCTTGATGTCTAGATCCATCGGGTTTCCTAAGAGCTACTGCAACAAAATGATGTTCATCTATTTTGCTTTCCTGAAAAATAAAAGTAAATATGTAAATTTCAATATAGCTTTGTTTACATTTTGTAAATCTTCTCTCTCCATACACATGCATACACACATATACTCCCCCTCAGGAGCCAAGTAATGAGCAAGAGGCAGTCAAGTACTGCATCCAGTTGTCGTGTCCGATCAGCCTGTCTTTTATGCCATAGTAACTCGCTGTCCTTCACTGGTGTTGTTAATTTTGTACATACTGAAAACATCTATTTATTAAAAAATAAAATAAAAACAACTTGTAATATTGTTTGTAGTATTTACTGAACTATATACTATAGACTATGGAAAATCAAGTAGAATCATGATAGACTTAATAAACATGCAATTTTCTATTTGATCCTGTGTGTGAGAGAAAGAGGATTGAGGCTTTAAAATATAATACATACAGGGCCAGCGCTGTGGCACAGTGGGCTAAACCCTGACCTGCAGTGCTGGCATCCCATATGGGTGCCGGTTCAAGACCCAGCTGCTCCACTTCCAATCCAGCTCTCTGCTATGGCCTGGGAAAACAGTAGAAGATGTCCCAAGTCATTGGGCCTCTGCACCAGCGTGGGAGACCCAGAAGAAGCTCCTGGCTCCTGGTTTCAGATTGGTGCAGCTCCAGCCGTTGCAGCCATCTGGGGAGTGAACTAGCAGATGAAGACCTCTCTCTGTCTCTACCTCTCTCTGTAACTCTGTCTTTCAAATAAATAAAGTATATTTATATATTTTATATATATATATATATATATATAAAATACATACTGAGGCAGTTACCAGAGAAAATTATGAGCAACATTTTAAAAAGAATTTTAATTGAAAAGCCATTTTTCTGAGGCATTCTTCCAAAAAACACCAACTGAAACAGTTAACCTCAACAATCATAAATAGAACTTTGAGATCTTTCATATCTTATCCTTTCCTTCATATTTTCACATTTTAGGATATCCATATTACAAAAACTAAAATTCAGTAAGAATTAATTTAAGACAATATAAAGAGGAAAAGACGTAAGACTCAGAGTCACAAGATCTAATAAGACTAAACTTACCTTTTTAAAAAAAATTTTTTTTTATTTTATTTGAAAGGCAGAGTCACAGAGAGACAGAGAGAGAGAGAGAGAGAGAGAGATCTTCCATCATTGGTCTATTCCCCAAATGGCTGCAACGGTGGGGGCCAGGCCAGGTCAAAGCCAGGAGCAAGGGGCCTGGAGGGTCTCCCATATAACGCAAGGGCTCAAGTCCTTGGACCATCCTCCATTGCTTTCTCGGGCACATTAAAAGGGAGCTTAATCAGAAGTGGAGCAGTGGATGGGAAGTGGAGCAGCCGGGACTCAAACCAGTGGCCATACAGGATGCCAGCACTGAAGGCAACAGCTCAACCTGCTATGCCACAACGCCAGCCCTGACTAAACTTATCTTCAAACACACAATAAACTTGAATGCATGGACCTAAAAATATCTGAAGTAATTTTTCAGAAATTTAGCATACAGTTCCTATACACATGGAATATTTCAAGAAGTAAAAATAATCTTTACATATAATTATATGTTAAGGACATCAACGAATACTACTCATGGATGTACTATTTTGAGCATTTCTTAACAGTCTAAAATACTAACAGATACTGTCACTTCCTACCCTGCTCCTAAAGAAAAATATTTTCCCATAAATCAAACACCAAGCTCACAATATTTATTACATTATTATAAACAAGATTATTTTTTGATTCAGGGTCTTCTATTCTCTATACTGAATACATTGATAACAATATGAACACAGAATTATTTTGACTATAATTATTTTTGGAAAATCACTCAGATCAGCAGTTCTGTAGTATCTGTATCAAAAAGTACCAGAAGTAATCACCCAATGGTCAGTTTTCATTCAGCCTTTTGACTAGTATGCCAGATGCCCAGTTCAATCAATCTGTTAATCTTGGAACAAGCCAAAATTCAATGAGATTCATTTCAAAGTAAAGTTTCATCATGTCTACTCAGACCTTACCAGCAAATTTAAATATGAAATTTGACACAGTGAAACTAGAAAAGCTATTTTACAACTGATGAATCAGTTATCAAACTGTGCCATATACTTTGCTATTAAGTGCTGAACCATTGGATGGAAGATTGCTCTGTCTCTTCCTCTCTATAATGCTGCCTTTCAAATAAATAAGAATCTTAAAAGTTTCAGGATTTAGTCCTTTGTTTGCCATACTATCCCAGAAGGAGTCATAAACTATTTACCTTACACTATGACAACTTCATTCTGTTCATAAGGCTCTCAGATTCCATTTCATAGATACACATTCTTCTTTATGTTATCAAAGACACTAAACATTTTTTTTAAAATCTTCATTTTCTTAATAATTTTCATATTCTTTCTTTAGCGTCTTTAGCTCTTTCTTCTCTTGGGATACAGATTTTCTCTATGGCTTATGATGACACTGTTCTTTGTTTTGTTTGAATAAGATAGTATCCTTAACCTCTGCATCATTTTACTAGGGGGCCAGTAGAAATTTCTTTCCAGATCCAGACCTAGAATTAAGGTTGTTATTTACAGTCTCAACCATGTTTCTGAGAAAGATACTGCCCTTTTCATCTCCTTCCATTCCTCACTGTTTTCTATTTTCATTCACATAGATTTTAATTTTTTCATATTTTTTAAAGATTTATTTATTTATTTGAAAGAGTTACACAGAGTAGGAGAGGCAGCAAGAGGAAAGTCTTCCATCCGCTGGTTCACTCCCCAATTGGCTGCAACAGCCGGAGTTGCACCAATCCAAAGCCAAGAGCCAGGAGCTTCTTCCAGGGCTCCTGCATGGGTGCAGGCGCCCAATGGGCCATTTTGTACTGCTTTCCCAGGCCATAGCAGAGAGCTGGATTGGAAGAGGAGCAGCTGGGACTAGAACCGCCACCCATATGGGATGTCAGCACTGCAGGCATTACCACTGCACCACAGCACCGACCCCTCACACAGATTTTCACACATGGCACACTGAACAGAATAAAAAAAACTGCTACACTGAGTCAAAAACTTAGTTGTCTTCAATAGCTTCCTTCAAATATGTCCAGATAGATTTCCTTTCTAGTTCCTGAATAAGAACCTAGGGAAATCCTATAACTATTCAGTCACTTTCAGCTATCAAATCCCATTTCAATCCTAAAACTAATGCACTTTCTCCTCTTTGGCATTATCCTCCTCTTCCATTCTTCCTCTTCTTCTCTGGTTTCCTTAAGTTAGGTAGCAGAGAAGGAGATTGGAAGAAACAGGCAAAGTAATAAACAGTGATATTTTAATCCAGATTCAGGAGCCCCGGTCCCTGTGAGGTATCCAAATGCTACCTATTCTCATGGGGTGAATATCTGTGGAATTTTTGGAGAGCCACTTCTAGTTCTTCAGTTCTGTATCATTCCCTGGAGCTAACAGTATACTTAATAACTGACTTCTTGGTCTCAGTAATAAACACACAGTAGAATCTCCAATGCCTCCTTTTGTGGTTGGGGGATTCCTTTCAGCTGGGATCCTTTGTAGATACTTTAAGCCCAGTGGCTATCAGGTTATAGAGCAGGGGCTGGCAATGTTCAGACCACAGCCACATACTGCTCACAAAATTATACGGTCCAGTCCTGCCAAGGCAACCGCAGGTAGGCTTCAAAATTTAATAAACTAATAGAAGATTAATTTTTAAGTTGGCAATTTTGTATGGCCCATGAGTGATGTTATAAATACCCAAATAGCCCTTGGCCCTGTTCTAGAGCATCTGTTTAGGCCACATGAACTCAGACACCTTCATCACCCAAAGAAGAGCTGATCGGTCTGCTGACTCTTACCTCCTTATCTGCATACTCCAGCCATTATCCTGCCCTCAAATTCCTTTGGATGAAAAGTGTGTATCTTCACACATATGCAGACACACCAAATAGTTCATGGAAAATGCATATTATGAAAACCCTATGCATGAATTACAAAATATTTTGCTCTGAAATAAACGTATCTTTCTATTCCATTTCCACAAACTTTATGAAGTACCCTCCTACCTCTAAATTCCTGGATACACAAAGTACATTTTCCTACAAACTCTCTTAATGTTCTCTACTGTATTTCAGAGGCCACAGAGACTACTAGTGTGTCATCTTACCAAGCTCACATTTCTGTCCCTATACACAAACATACTTCTCTATAAATAGGTTGGCTTGAATCTTGGTCACTACTTTTGCTACACTAGTAACTTAAACTAGCTTAAACAAAACAAAGAAAGGCTATGATCTGAAAAGTAATTCTTGCTAAAGTCAGAAATTTGGTGTTAAAAGAGTTTAACGTTCCTCTAAATCAAAAACTTAACTGCCTTCCACTGCTTCTTACTATACTCCAGAGTGTTTCCAAACAGCTTTTTTTATGTCTACGTAAATGTGTTTTCTAGCTGCAAAGATTATTTTTTACTGAATTTCAGAATATAAGCATTATGCCCATAAAAACATATCTAAGAGCTTTTTTCAGGTCAACAAAAATTACTATTAAGTATAATTAAGACTGCAGTAAAAGGTTAGCTATAGCTTGCTTCTCAATTTTCTGATTTTTTTTCAGTTACAAATTTTGAGGAAATGAGCATGCTGCTAAATAGAAAAAAATGTATAGTAAATGCTTTTTAACTAGCATGTCTGAACATAAAAGATTCCATGTAAGTGAACTTTCATATGGCTCAAGCTTGCCCCATTAAGAAAACGTAAGTTACTAATTTGGTTATATTTTGAAAATCTGTATTATCTTTTCAAATATAGGATCCTAAGTAAAATTCACTATCATTGTCAGAATTAGCAGTTTCTGACAAAGCTCTTCCTCAAAATACCTTCCGCCTTTGGATCCTATTATTTCCCAATGTATCATTTTGGTCACTGTCACTCAGTCGCCTCCATATTCTCCTTTTAGATGTTAGTATTCTGAAGTCTCTGTCCTAGGCCTTTATCTCGTCTAACTTAAGTAATCTCATGACTTCAATCTGATCTTCTCCATGGATCCAATTTATGGCTGCTCCTTAGGTACTCTTAGTTTCAACTTCAAATCCCATGGCTTTAGCAACCATGGGCATGTTAATGATAATAATTTTTTCAACCCAATCCCTCCATTCTGTACACCAATTTGATATCTACATTTAGGTATTTCTGAGGCATCTCAAACTTAACAATCCTTTCACTTTCTAGTACCATAAATCTCAATAGATCACCCTGCAAGTCAGAGAACTGCTCATAATATCTTTAAACCTCTATTTCCTTAATCTCCACATTCCAGCATAAATAGGACTTAGTCTTCTTAAAATACAAATTTAACTTTAATCACTCCCTATTTAACACTTTTTAAATCATCCTGAGAAAATTAATAAATACTTCCTCTTTTATGCAGCATCTCTAACTCCTTACTCTGAGAACTGCCTTCTTTGTACACCATTCTGGTGATTATAGCAGAAACAGAATTATAACACATTCACAATGGCCACTTCACTTTCACTGGCTACAGTAATTGGTCTGGATATAACACCTAACACAAGCAAGGTCAGGGAGACTCCTCCCCCAAGTTTGTGGGCTCAGAACAGAAAGGAGTTCAGCAGGTTTTCTTGGTTTTTTTAAGCTGCTACATACAAGAGTAGTAGTACACAGCAGTATTTTCTGCCATAAAGTCCAGAGAAACTAAGAAAACTGTATGTAAGACGACAAACGAGAGTGGGGAAAAACAACCTGGGTGTTTTTAAAATGCTAGTTAAGATGCCCATGTCACATATCAAAGAATGTTTAATATCCAGTTCTGGATCCTGTGTCCAGCTTCCTTCCACTGCAGATCCTGAGAGGCAGTAGCATTGAGTTTTCAACTCCTGGCTTTGGCCTGGCCCAGGTCCAGCTGCTGCAAGCATTTGCGGAGTGAATCAGCAAATTGGAGCTGGCTCTGAGTTCTCTGATAGAAGGTGAGTGAATCAGCAGATTGGAGCTCTCTCTGTCAGGGTCTCTCTCTGAATCTCTCACAGATAGATAAACAAACAGATATAGAGACAGAGACAGACGAATGAGTGAGGGAAATGAAACAGACATATAGAGAGCCAAAAGTAAATGAAGAGCTCTGAGTACCTTGTTACCCAATTCTAGTTCACTCCAAAGTTCACTGATGAATCAATCACCTTATTAGCTTATGTCTTTTTAATTTAAGTGAGTTTGTGTTAGGTTTCTCTCACTAGTAATCAGGAATTGCTAGTAACAGAAACCAAATAAAGAAAGAGATCAAAATCTGTAATCCAACCTGTAAGGACCTTCATGAACCTCTCAATTTCCCTTGTTACAGTTCAACCAAAATGGCCACCTTTGGGCTATTTCTACACAAAAAAGCTCTATTTCAGAGCCTGTTTTCCATTCCAGTTCTCCTTAACTCACAATGATTCATCTTTTCAATATGAGCTAAAATGTAACATGCTCTTAAAAGTATCCTTGATTTCACCTTTAGTGAGCAGGATTGTAGTCTAGTTGTATCAATTTAATGATAAGCTCCCCCAAAATTAATCTCACATACATGCATAATATGTGCAAATTCTTGTTCTATTAATTCTAATAAACATCTTACCTCAAATGCCCACTCTTTTTCTTCTTCACCATCCAGGAACAAACGTGTTTCTTTATAAACTTGGCCTATATCCAAGTTTAAAGGAGATATTTCAAATTCAAGCCGCTGTAATTCAAATCCTAGTCCAACACCAATGGCTTTTATGTAGCTTTCTTTCAATGCCTAAAATAGACAAGACATTTTTCTCTTATTCATAAAGTAAAATTGTAACAGAATCTATAGGTTCAATACCTGCATTTTTAACTCCTTTATTACATTATGGTTATGTTTTTTGTTTTTTCTTTACTTTTAACATAGCAAAGAGACAAACCATCCACATGACTCTTAAGAGACAAATCAATTTGAGCTCTCTGTGCCTCCATTCCCTCAGGTATAACTTGCAACAATAATAGCCCCTTTCTTATGGTCATTATGAGAATTAAATTAACTAATTTATGAAGAGCTTGAAATGATATCTTCTGGCATATAATAGGTATTACTTAAGTTAAATAAGGTTCATGTGTATGAATTCCTTTAAGACAAAAATATTTCTTATAAATGGTGACAAATGAAGTATTTTTGCTTTAGTTTTAAGAATAGGTGCCTTCTAACTGAACATTACAGATCATCTTTTTCTTAAAATGTCACCATCACGTAATACTGTATGCATAAAAATCCTAAGGTTCTTATGTAATCACCCATTTACTTCAAGCACTATACGCACTATTGGGAACTCATTCTTAGTGAAGATAATAGAATACATAAAAAACAGAATTATATAGAAATTATACCCAATTCCTATAAAACATATCCAGCTGAGTCCATTCATCCTTAAAGCTTCTGATGGTTTCCCATTCCTTGTTGGTAAACTTCCTTTTCATAATATGAAAGAATTCTGGAATTGAACCGCGACCTGTTAATTGAGGAAATGAAAAATTAAAGCGCTGTGGCGTAGTAGGTAAAGCCATTGCCTGTGGTGCCAACATCCCATATGGGCATTGGTTTGAGTCCCAGCTTCTCCACTTCCGATCCAGCTCTCTGCCATGGCCTGGGAAATCAGTAGAAGATGGCCTAAAGTATTTAGGCCCTGCACCTGGTGTGGAAGCCCTGGAAGAAGCTCCTGCCTCCTGGCTTCGGATCAGCCCAGCTCTAGCCATTGCAGCTATCTGGAGAGTGAACCAGCAGATGGAAGATAACCCCCTACCCCTCTCTCTGCCTCTGCCTCTCTGTAGCTGCCTTTCAAATAAATAAATCTTTAAAACAAAACAAAACAAAACAAAACAACAAATCAATTGTTCTAACAGAGAAAAAGTCACCCTAACACTGAAACTATTAAAAACCCTAGGGGCTGGCACTGTGGCATAGTGAGTAAAAGCTGCCGCCCACAGCGCCAGCATCCCATAAGCACACTAGGTTCAAGTTCTAGCTGCTCCACTTCTGATCCAGCTCTCTGCTATGGCCTGGAAAAGCAGTAGAAGATGGCCCAAGTCCTTGGGCCCCTGTACCCGCAAGGGAGACCCAGAAGAGGCTCCTGGTTCCTGGCTTTGGAGAGGCGCAGCTCTGGCCATTGTGGCCAATTGGGGAGTGAGCTAGCAGATAGAAGACCTCTCTCTCTCTCTCTGCTTCTCCTTCTCTCCCTCTGTAAATCTGACATTCAAATAAATAAATAAATCTTAAAAAAAAAAAAAAAAACATGAAAGAGAAAGCCATAAGCTAAACTCACTTTTGAATATAGCCACAATAATCTTAAATACTAAATCAAAGTAACTGGAAATTAAAATAGCATACAATGAAAAACAGGGGTCAGACCAGAAACAGAAGGGTAGTTTAATATAAATCAGAGAAATTCTATGAATTATTAAACAATTAAGTAGAAAAAAAACATAGCTGTATTAAGAGATATCGCAAAGAATTCTCATTAGCAGTCATATCTGTTGTGAATTCCAAATAGCTAAAAGGAAACTTCTTACACATAATACTTATCAGAAATCCACAACAAGCACTCCTAAATAGTGTTGCACTACTTTAGGGTTTACATTTTCACTATGCTATATGAGTCTAACAGAGAAAAAAAGCATAATTCTTTCACTGCAGTTTTGTGGAAATTGGTAGCTAAAAAAATTTGTTTACGTGGTTACTGTGACTGTATATGTTGATTTCCTCCAATGTAACTTTTTAAAAAATAAGCTTACTTCTTTTTATATATTTGAGAAGCAGAGAGATATCCCCATCCACCATTTCACTCCCCAAGCACCTGCAATGGAGATGGAATCTGGAAGCCAGAAGTTCAATCCAGTTTTCCCATGTGGGAACAGGGACTCAACAACTCAGCCCTCCTGCTGCATCCCAGGGTGCACACCAGCTGGAAGTTATATTCAGTAGCAGAGGTGGGAATCACGTAGCTCATTACATACAGCTAAAAAAGTGTCTGATACAACAGTATTTTCATGTACTTTTGAGAGCATCTTATCTAATCCACAAAATAAGCATTTTGTCAGCAACAAAACATTTGTTTGTGAATACTCAGTCAAAGCACAATAGTGCCACACTGTGGCATGATGGTGAAAATACAGCAGGTGAATATTACATTAAGTCTATAGTTTACCTAGGAAATTAGAATATAAATCAGTAGAACAGAAAAATTTGTTGCTCCAACTATCTGTAGGTAATACAATTATTGGATACATAAGGTGGAAAATCTTCCTAATAATATGCATCACGTCTAATACTTTCTCCTATTTAAGCATACAATTTAACACTGAAAAACTTACACACATATACAAAATACAAAAACTACTGAAAAGCATACAGAATGATCAGCCAAGTTTAGAGAAACTTGACTGTTCATCTTACAGCTTAATTTTTAAGTAAAGCAGTGTTAGACATTAACAAAATAATCTATAATATCAATTAACCAAGCCCATGTAGCAACTAAAAACATTTATATCCAACATAATGGTAACCTACAACAAAACATTTATAGCCAATATTCTGAGCTACTAAGCAGGCCTGTGGAAAAAAATCTTACTAATACCAGACCCTCATAGCCCACCTGCATCTCTCTCTAAAACAAAGTCACCAATGTGATTATATAGAATAGCACCTCAGTTAAAATTTAGTATTCTTTTCAAAGAAGATGGAGGGTTTTTGTCTTTTTTTTTTTTTTGCTGGGGTTGGGGAGGCTCAGGAGGTTCCGGGGAGACAGAACTAAGTAATGTCTGTGTGCTTGCTGCCAAGTATCCAAACAGCTTTAGCTAATAAATCATACTATAGTAAATCATATTGGGAAGTCCAAATTTAATTTTCTAAGTACTTGATTACAAACAGCCAGATTACATATAGTCTCGCTTCTATGGGAGGTAACAGTCTTCTAATATTTGAGTTAATTCCACCTAATAATGCCTAACTTATCAGCTATCAATGTATCAAGATATAAACCCCATATAAACAAAAATGTCTGAGCTGCCAAAATATTTCACAAACTACAAGCTCAAATCCTCTTCCATGTGACTGATAAAGGTTATCTGGAAGTGGTCAGCATTTAACACTAGATTGAAATATGACACTAGAAAAAACATTAGATTCAAATATGACAACTGAATCTTGAGATTTACCACCTATGCAGCACTGAATATCAGTTGCTCTTACTGGGCATATTAAAATGTATGTACATCAACATGTACGGGCATTAATAGACATAAGCAATAAACAGGCCAATACAGCTGGAACTACTTGGATAGGAATGCTATCCATCAAAGATGCCTTCACAGAGCAAGGAAGAGGGCCAAGAGAGAGGTGCTGTTCCAGAGGTATCAGAGGACACAATCTGCCCCTGCTGGGTTTTGAACTTCTTTGGGAACCATGACCCCTTATTCCCTTCCATCTTCTCCCTTTTGGAACAGAAATGTCTATCCTCAGCTTCTACCACCATTAGATGACATTACTGCAAAACATTAATGGAAAATGTAGGGGCCGATGCTGTGGCATAGTAGGCTAAGCTTCCGTGTGCGGCACCGGCACTCCATATGGGCGCCATGTCTGGGCTGCCCCTTCTTCCGATCCAGCTCTCTGCTGATAGCCTGGGAAACTAGTGGAAGATGATCCAAATGCTTGGGCCCCTGCACCCACATGGGAGATCCAGAAGAAGCTCCTGGCTCCTGGCTTCAGATCAGCTCAGCTCCAGCTGTTGTGGCAATCTGGGGAGTGAACCAGCAGATGGATGACCTTTCTTTCTGTCTCTCCCTCTCTCCGTCTGTAACTCTACCTCTCAAATAAATAAATCTTAAAAAAAAAAAAAAAAAAGAAAATGTAACTAAGAAACTATGTATTTCAAAATTTCTTTACAACAAAATAAATATAATCCCACTGTTTCACGAACTCTTTGAAGTACCCTTGCATTTCAGATGATGACCTGTTTTCTGGTTTCACCAGAGATGGAGAGGAATTTTGCCCCAAGACAGACCATACTGACTTAAAATATTCACATGAGATTTGCAACTTTTTGAGATGGTATTTAGATGAGATTTTAGATACAGAGGTAAATGTGGAATAAGTAAAGAGTCAGGGATACTGAATTGGGATCAAGTTAGTTTATATGTGGGATGGGCGAAGGGGCAGAAGATTCATTATATACTAGGTTAAAGAGTATCTTCCAAAATTCATGTCCATCCAGAACCTCATAATGACATCCTAGAGTCCGCAGATGTAATCAAGGTCTGTAAGAGGCATCACAGACAGAGGCAGGCAGGGAAGAAGGCCATGTGAAGGGAGAGGTAGAAAATGGACTAATGCAGCTACAAGCCAACAATTGCTAGTAACCACCAGAATCTAGGAAGAGGCAAGAAGAAATCTTTCTTGAAATCTTCAGAGAAAGCACAACAACCCTGCACAAACCCTAAATGACTTCTATTTCAAATGTCAGAGAATACATTTCTGTTGTTTTAAGACATGGAGACATGCCTTGGAAACTAACACATAGACACAATTTAAATTATGTATTAAGTGGACACATTCACACACTCTTTAAAAGCTTCAGAGGAGGCCAGTGCTGTGGATTAGCTCGCTGCTATGGCCTGGGAAAGCAGTAGAAGATGGCCCAACTCCGTGGGCCCCTGCATCCACATGGGAGACCCAGAAGAAGCTCCTGCCTCTTGACTTTGGATCAGCGCAGCTCCAGCCAATGTGGCCATTTGGGGAGTGAAGCAGCAGATGGAAGACCTCTATTTCTCTTTCTCTTTCTCTCTCTCTCTCTCTCTCCTTGACTCTGCCTTTCAAATAAATAAATAAATCTTTACCAAAAAAAAAAAAAAAGCTTTAGTGCTTGGGCCAGTGATGCAGCACAGCAGGTTAAGCTGCAGTCTGCAGTACAAGCATTCCATGTGGGTGCCAGTTCGAGTCCCAGTTGCTCCACTTCCAATCTAGCTCACTACTGACGCACCTGGCAAAGCAGTGGAGGATGGCCCAAGTGCTTGGGCTCCTGCATCTACCTGGGAGACCCAGTGGAAGCTCCTGGCTCCTGGCTTCAGCCTGGTCCAGAGCTCCAGCCACTGAAGCCATTATGTTGGATATAAATGTTTTTAGTTGCTACATGGGCTTGGTTAATTGATATTATAGATTATTTTGTTAATGTCTAACACTGCTTTACTTAAGTAAACCAGCAGATGGAAGAGCTCTCTCTCTCTGTCTCTCTTCCTCTCTCTCTGTAACCCTGGCTTTCAAATAAGTAAATAAATCCTTAAAAAGATTTAAATAAATAAAAAAACAGCTTTAGTACTAATGTTCCAAGAGTCAAGTGGTCAAATGCTGATTCTATCACTTGTTAGTTAAGTTACCCATTTAACATTTAACATTATCTAGGGACAAACTGGGGAGACTGAAGTATAAACATGTAAAATACCTGAGATCAGTACAGCTTTTCACTATAATATGTACTTATATTTTTACTTTTCAACAATTTTAAGAAGTTTTCTTAAAAGAAATTAAGGAGACCAACACCCTGAACTCCTTTCTATCACATGTGTATCTAATAACCACTTACTGAGTTCCTGCTATGTGCTAGACTACTCTGCTGTGTAGGAGGTATACTGTGTAAAAAGCACAAGAAAGAATGGTTCCTAAAGAAATCTAATGAGAAGAGAAAATAAGTAACAAATAATTAAGTTATAATTACAAATGAGAAAGGCCATGAAGAAAAAGCAGATTAGGTGGTCCTGTCGAACCACTGGCTACTAACTCATCCTTCAAATTTCACGGAGTAAAGCAAAGAGTAGGGAGAACAAGCAAAAGAATCCGCTTCTGTGCAATGGCCTTGAACATGAAAATTCTCACTGGAGTCAAAGTAATAAAAGAATAGTGTGGACAGAAAACTGTGAGCAAAAAGAGTAACTACAAGCTGTAGACAGATATGAGAATGGTGACAAGATGAAGACAAGACAACAGAGCCATGTTAAAGAGGCTGATTTTTCTTCTACAATGCAATGAGAATCAACTTCTGAGTTAATAAAACTCCCACAGGTCTTTCAAAAAACTACTCCACTCCACATGAAAAATGTACTTACTGGGTGAGAATACAAGAGAAAAGGGAGAACCAATTATGAAACTATTGTGTAACAGGACAGGAGACATGGTGTGGTGGAAGGAGATAAGAAACAGGCTCTATCACCTTCCTGGCTACCATATATGAATACTTAATTTATACCCTCTGCACAGAACTTATACTTTCTATGTGATGACCATTTTAGACAGCAATTCCTATGAATACTTAATTTATACCTACTGCACAGAACTTATACTTTCTATGTGATGACCATTTTAGACAGCAATTCCACAATACAATCATTTCAAATTATTTAAGTTAAAATCATTAATGTATCCCATTGTTAATACTATATCTGGCAAAATTTTTGATAAAAGATGTAAACACAGAGGTAGGTGTCTGACCCAGCAGCTAATATCCTACATGATACACACTCATCCCACATGGGAGCACCTGGCTTTCCCACCTCTTTTGCTTTACATCCACTTCCTGCTCATGTGCACCCTGAGAGGCAGCAGGTAATGGCTGCTCCCAAGTGGGAGATCTGGTTGAGTTCTGGAGTACTGGCTTCAGCCTAATCCAGTTCTGGCTGCTGCAGGTATTTGGGTGGTGAACCAGTGGACAGATCTCTCTCTGCATTTCAAATAAAATGAAAATAAAATTTTTTAAATTAAAAAAATGTAAGCAGAAAACCATAGGGAAAGACCATTACTATTTTCCCAATTTTAGAATATAATTCATACACTACATCTTGGCTACCTTATTTTGCTTTATTTTGTACATATGGCAACAAAACTGAACAATTCATTGAATTATTCCTTCTTTACAACTGCAAGTGCCTTTAATGGTAGATAAGACTCAGAAAACAAAAAGAAAAAAAAAGAATTCCCAACTGAGGTTGGCAACTTAGGACAATGACCAAGCAAACTCATTATGCTCATGTTGAGAAATGTACTGTACTGGTAGCAGACCAATACCTTATTCTTGAAATTGGGTTAATTCTATTGAGACTACATCAGTTCTCATGGGAGTGAGTCAAGTCTCATAGATTAGTCATGGCAAAGTGAATTATTAATAAAAATCTCCCCTCTGTCTTTCTCTTGCACATGTGCCTCTCCTCTCCACCTACCCACTGCCTCACCATGCATTAGGCACATGAGGCCCTCACTAAATGCTGAGCAGGCTCCAGTGCCCTGCTCTAGACCTTCAGAACTGTGAGCTAAATAAATGTTTTTATAAATTACTCAGCCTTAGATATTTTGTTATACAAACAGAAAACAAACTGCAAATAGTGGCATTAATGGCAACAGTCTATCAATACACTAATGATGCAAACCTCCCCCTTACCGGCCCACTCCCAAGCTCTGCCTGGACAGTTTGACAATAACAATGCTCAGTAAAAAGTGCAGTTCTTTCCTAGCTGCTAGCCTAAGTTTTCCTTTCTGCCACTTAGCAAGACACTTAAAAATATCCCTAGTTCAATTTTCTCATTTATTTGGATAAGTAGAACAATTCAAATGTACTCTCACCAAGAAATCATGCCGTTTGTATTCATACTTCAGAAATCAGAGGCACGATAACACTAGTAACAACTAGAAAATATGTCTTCCTCTTAATGTTGCTGGGCACAGCAATAGTTTCTTGGCAATGAAGCAGTCAAAGAAAAAGAAATGGGGGCTGGCATTGTGATGTAACAGGTAAAGCCACTGCCCATGACACTAGCGTCCCATATGGGTGTGGGTTGTATCCTGGCTGTTCCACTTCAGATCCAGCTCCTTGCTAATGAACTGGGAAAAAGCAGTGGAAGATGACCCAGGTGTTTGGGCCCCTGCCATCAGTGTGAGAGACTCAAAGGAAGCTCCTGGCTCCTAGCTTTGGCCTGACCCAGCCCTGGCCCAGACCCAGCAGCTGCAGCCATCTGGGGAGTGAATCAGCAGATAGAATATATATCATTCTCTCTGTAACTCTTTCAAATAAATAAACAAGAAACAGAGAGAGAGAGAAAGGCCTGGATGGTGTCATTGGTCAAATGCGATAGATCAAAAAAGGTGGTAAGTGGGGATGAAAGGTCTAAGAAAACATGTAATAGGAAACTAAGTCTTCAATTATTTGCTTAACTATTTTCCCATCATTTCTTAAAAGCTTCAATTAGTAGTTACTTGTTCATGTACTATTGACCATAAGGCGACAATGCCCACCAAGTCAACTGGTAATAAAATCAGTTTCTGAGAGACATCAATTTCAGGTAGATAGCAACCAACTGGGCTAACCTTACTACATAGTAGTGCTGATTGCAGTCTAAAGAATAATGGCCTTTCTGCTATTTTCTAATTTTAGGAAAAGTTCATGTAGAACAGCAAAAAGCTGTAAAAACACATGGGCTCATTCCCATGCTCACTCCGAGTCCTCTGTCATCAGTGGTTCTTTCAGACCCTGCTGAATACCAGAACCTTTCCTTAAAACATGCAAATGCAAAGTTCAGGAGGTCAAAAAAATAAAAGTATTAAAGTTTATCAATGCAGTCAGGGTCAAGTACCTGTGACAATATTTCTGAAATCTCCTGCTGAGCAAACTTGAGTGAGCTGTAATGGAAAGGTTTATGAACATCCAGACACTTCACATATTCTGAAGCCTATACTACAGCAGCGCAGTATTCATTCAACACTCTTTAAGTACCATAATGTACCAGGCACCGGGATCAAACCCTGATGAGGTTAACACAAATCCTGCTCTCACGTGGCTTATAATGACCAAGGAAAAGACAATCCATCCGCCTGATGAATAATTTTAAGTTGCAATAATTAGAATAAAGGAAACATATTTTACAAGTGCCAACAATAAAGGAACCTAGAGTGAAATTTCATAAAAGGTTCCATAAAGTAAGGCTGAGGTGAAGTCAAACCAGTAAATAAATTAAGAATTATCTCTATAGAAATGGGGTTGGGTATGAAATTAACACAAGCCTTCCAGATAGAATCACATAAGCAAAGATCCTGTGGAGGCCAGGTGAAGATTAGTAAGTTGTACTGTGAAAGCAGGAGCAGTTCTCCTACCAGTTGCTTTTTTCTGTCTATTATCTTTCGGTAAAAATAACAGCATATTCATTATAGGGCAGATCGGCAGAATTAAAACAGAAAATGTTAGTAAAGTACTTAATAAAAATGCCATGACATATATACTACATGCTCACTAAAAGTTAGTGACTATGATAATTATAGGATAATTAACAGAACTGTACTTAGTGTGTAATATTAAAATAGTCTTTGGTAAACTCAATTCTACAATAAACATTAGCAGTTCCCAAAGCCACAAGTATTAAATTTCTAAGGCAATATATATACAACTTAAATATTTTGGTGAGGCTTGCTCTTCAGCTTATAAAAATGTGCTAAATCAAGCTGTATTTAGATATAGTACATATACATGTATCTCTAATAACTACAATGTGGGGCCAGTGCTATTGGGCAGTAGGCTAAGCCACCACCTGCAGTGCCAGTAACCTTTAAGGGTGCTGATTCAAATACCAGCTGTTGCACTTCTGATCCTCCGCCCTGGAAAGCAGCAAAAGATAGCCCACGTGCCTGGGCCCCTGCATTCATCTGGGAGACCTGGATAAAGCTTTTGGCTCCTGGCTTTGGCCTGGCCCAGCGCTGATGTTGCAGCCATTTGGAGAGTGAACCAGCAGATGGAAGATCCCTCTCTCTGTCTCTCCCTCTCTTTCTGTAACTCTGCCTTTCAAACAAATAAATAAATCTTAAAAAAAAAAAAAAACTACAATGTATCTTACCATTGACAGTTGTTAAATAAACAAACAACTTACATATAAACTGTGGTAAATGCTTAAGTGAAGGTATAAATCCAGATGCCATTCAAAAAGAAAATCCTTATATTTCACTTTAGGAAAAGCATTATATGAATCCCCAGTAATGGATACCTATCATTTATGTGGAAGTCTGCTAAATATTCAATGAAATATACCCCTTTCAGATATATAGTCTCTTACATACATTGCCTGGAGTATTAAGCAAAGCCACCTAAATTTGAATAGCTAGAATTTCTTTCCTAACCTGAGATTAATCAATGGATAAGAACTGAGAAATTAAGACATTAAACTTCTGTACCACAAAAATGCAACATTACCTGGAAAACTAGTCTTCATTATATCGACTCCAACTTGTAGTTCAGGTTCAGCAGCAAGCACCGCAAAGTCCCCTTGATGAGAGATGTTAAAGTTGAAATTGGGGTAAGGATTCAATGAGTCCTTTGCAAGAACTGGTTTTCCTTTTGCAGTTCTTTGCAAACGAATATTATTCCAAGGGATATTCAATTTCTCTGCAACTAATTTCCTTATCATCAGACGACCAGCCTGGTAAGTACACAAAACATTTAGTTTGTATTGATGTGTATTAAAGATACGGGTATGTGGTCTATAATTAACAAAACATATTTTTGGTGTTTCTAAAAGTTTAAGAAGTACATAATCATTAAATACACTGCATTAAGATTTAAGTAATGCTTAAGTAGACATAACATTAGAGACTTAGTTAGCACTCACCTCCATGCACGCATCCTTCCAGTTGTTTCTCTAAGTATTTAAACACATGTACATCTGCCTAAATTTTCACTAACTCTCTCAACAGAAACACAGTTATGAAGTGTTACCATATGTGGTAGTCCATCATGTATTAGCTTTTTAATTTATAAAGTATGAGTATTATCCCATGCACTTTTCTCTGTAGCACAATATTTCATAATACAGCCATGTGCCACATAACTTTCAGTCAATGACACGATTATCACCTTGTGATATCATAGCACTCTATGTTTGTACAAGTGACACATTTCTCAGACCACATCTCTGTCACTAAGTGACCTGTGACTGCTCTGAGGTACAATAAAGGTACTGACTACCTCTGTTACTGGACATTAGGCTGACTCTATACTTACAGGCCTACTGTACATATATCTGTACATATGTACCAATGATTTTTCTAGATCCTATGTACCACAGTGATCACTCAGAACAACTGACAACACACACTCTTGTTCCATTCTCCCACCATTAATTATGAAATTACTATGAATACACGAAAGAATCCAAAGGCATGACAGAAAATACATTCTTTAAAATATAAAATATCATTATACATAAAATATAAATAAAATGTAAAATAGAGTTAGGCTTTAAAATTAATTAAACAAACTCTGACAAACTATTAAAAAGTCTAAAGAACAGTCACCAACATACTTCCAAAATTATCAACTGGGCCCACATTTCAAACGGAAAGTTGTTTCAATATGGGAACACTTTCAAGAAAAGAACTGTCTTTGAAGTGATGGTAACTGGCAGTTGTTTCTAACTGCACTACGTGGCATTTATTTTGAAATCCAGTTTTCCATTTGTTGCACAAAAATATGTAACTAACATTTATCGATCTACTTAAGATACTATTTTCCAAGCTTTCCGGTCAGGAAAGTGAGCCTAGGACCGTATCCTCCCTGGGTCTCCATGGGTGAAAGCAGAGGCTGGCTTCGTGTTTCCCAGTCCCGTGGTGTACAATGCAATGAACAGTCATACGCTTTCTGGGGCCTACCACGTGTAAGGTGCCTTTGGACTGAGGTGGGATATTTAACAGGCAGACTAAGCCTGGGCTATGAACCCAATTAAAAAGAATCTGAGCGTTCTGGATATTTTATAAACTAAAAATATAAAATAGTATGAAAAACACAACGACTTGGCAATCCTTCTCTACAGTTAGGTTCTGGTTCTGTAGCGTCTCGAATTTTGAATTAGAGCGGAGGAGCTCACTTTACAGCAGATGGAGGCCTCAAAGGCGGCTACAAAGACCGAGGAGAATAGGCCGCGAGCACGCCGGGCCAGGGCCGGCCACTCCTGGTCCCGAGTACGGCGAGGACACCAGGCCAGGAGGTCTCCACAACCCGGCCCACCTCCCACCCCAACAGCTGCTTCCTGGGCTCTAAATACCAAAGACCAGTAGTACCATGGCTGCCTTAGCGTCCCGGGCAAAGACGAACTGGCCAATGCGCTCCTTCTCCTCAGGCTGGATCGACCGCACCGCCAGCAGCCATTCGGCTCGACTCGGCAGCCAGGTGCCACAGGAAAAGGCCCAGCGGACGCCCTCCATGGATGGCACCAAGCACAGCCGCTTGGCTGGGAAAACCATACACTAGGACCGGCCCTCGCCGCCACCTCCGGCCTGATGGCGCGGACGCTAACACGGCTCCACCCCCTTCTTCCCGGCGTCTGGCGCAGGGGGCGTGGCGCCGCTCTACGTAGACGGCACGTTGCCCATCCGGAGCACTCCCGGCCCCAACCCGGGCTCGGCCGCTTCCTGTCAGAGAAAGTGGCTGGGGACCAGGATGGAAATCCGCCTCTGCGCTCTGCGGCATCTGTGGCGTCACGTGGGCGTGGCTTCGGCTAGAAGAAGGGAGGGACCACGGCCGCGAGCCTGACAGTTAACGCCACTCACACTTGGGGAAGCGCTAACGGGACAGCGGTGCAAGCCAATCGCAGCCAGTTCTCTGGAGGCAGGGAGTCTGGGGTGGAGACTTCAGAGACTGCAGTTGCAGGTGGGTGAGCTCCGGGGTCTGAGGGAGGAGTGGGGTGGCAGCGCCTTAGTACTTGGGGATGAGCTGGGCTTATGTGACAGAAAAGCGGACCCCCTTGGCTTCAGCTGCTTTTGTTGCTCCTTCGTGTCTGGGTCCAGGGGGAGGTCTCCGCGGCTAGAAGGAGACTGCCGCGGTGGCCCCTGGAGTTGTGCAGTGCTGCGGCCTTGAATCGACTCCTTTCCTCCCTCCCCCCGCCACCATGTCCCCACCCGCCGTCCCCATCAGCCCAAGACCCATCCTGACCCAGGCCACTCTCTGCCTCTAGAAGCTGCCCACCCTGACACCTGCCCTAGCACAGGGCTCCGTCCCCAAGTTCGAGGCTGCCAGCGAGCAGCTAAGCTGATGCTGACCGTCTTCGGGGCGTTGGAGAGACCCAAGTGCTGCTTTGCGGTCTCCAAACCTGGGTTAGAGCCTTAGAATCTCTCTAAAACGAGTTTCTGTTGTTGGGGCATCACTGTTCCCATCATAGCACACTGGTCCTTGCTCTGACAGCTACAGAACCGGGTAAATAACCAGCGGCCTTTCAGACTTGGTGCCTTTGCACAGTTTCTCAGACTTTACGAGTGGTCTTAGTGATGTATGTCTCTGTGTGTATAGTTCTGTGTACACTTCTGGTGACTGTTCTATGGGAGCCCGCGGGACCAACGTCCCCTGCAGGTTTTGGTCTATGGGAAAGTGTCTCTGCAGTGAAAGTAGTCAAATGCCTAACTTGGTATTAGATTAAGTGCCAGAAAGTGAGATTCAGCCGACTCCCGACTTCCTTTGGCTGCCAGGAACTATCAGGAAAAGGTCGACAAGAGTAACCAACACAATTGTCAGTTATGTCTGTCTTAAGAAGGATTCTGTTTTATTTTTCTCTGTATATTTTTCCATGAACTTTTCCTGTTATTCCCCTTGGAATCTTTGCAATTTGATGGGACTTTGGAAACACATACATACACCCTCCAAGGACAGCAAAATGAATTACTTGATATGTCAATTTAGCTAATACTTATACAAGCCTAGGTAAGGTACCATATTTAAGATCTACTTAACCACCTGCAGGGAGCTTACAATCTCCAAGGCAAGTGAAGGATACACATAAAAAACCTACAATAAAGCAAAATATAAAGATAATATAAAGTTAAAAGGTACTCTACATGGATCAGCAATAATCATAATTCAGTTTTCCATTTTTAACTATGTAAGCATTGTATCATAACTTTTGCTTTCCTTTTAAAATGTTCTTTTTTCTGATTTTGGTATATTTTGTGTTTCTAAAACATACCTAGGTATATTATCTTAAAACTGTTCTCTGTGGTGGTTATTATTACTGATGGAAAAACTGAGCTCAGAAACAGAATTTGTATATTTATGTAAATGCAGGTTAAGGAATTTCTATTCCATTCTTTTACCATTGAGCTGGACATCAGCGCTAAGGGGCCTAGTATTCAGGCAGATAGTGTAGTGGTTACTTTTACTTGTTTGGTCTGCCTAGAATATTCTATCCTTCCACCATCATATTTATTATTTCTCTGTATCAGGCTCAAATGTTGTACCAACAGAATTTTCCTGCCCACTCAATCTAACATAGCTCACTCTGACTGCTCCCCACCCTCAGCCCCAAACCTGGGACACTAATGAGTACTCTATATAGGTTGATTTAATCCCTTTCCATATTTACTTTTTAAAATCTTACTTGTCCTTCAAGGCTTAGCTTAAACCTTATCTTCTCTTAAGGGCTATTCCAGAGCACTTTGTTAACAATATTGTTTCTACAATTCACTGGGCCATTATCCTAGTACTGCCTTATGATAGCTTATCATACTGAATTATATACTTACCTTGTATATGATTACCTTGCAAATTAGAATGTATACTACTTGAGAAGGAATTTCATATAGACCTTAACTGTTCCAAACATTATGAATAAATGCTACAAAATTACTTTTATGATAGATTTTATTCTCACCACAGTAATACTGATTTTTATATTTTGTCTGTCTTTTTATCCTTACTTCTTTACAAGAATTATAAATATGTAATTAATGACTTCCTACCTATATTCAATAAGCCAAAAATTTTCTTAAAATATTTTTATTACATTGTCCAGGGGGAGAAAAGTAACATTAGAGAGGCTTACCCAGTTAGTGAGTGATGGTGTTCTTTCTTGATTCTAATCTGGGGATTCTTGCCAGGACTCTAAGAGACTTGTTTTCTATTTCTAGTTTTTTGTGACTTTGAGTAAATCACATTACCTCTCCTAAGTATTAATTTAATGCAAAACTATGAAGTCATCTCTAGGAATAAGTGATTTTTATGTAGTATTTACTAGCTCTTCATTGGGTCACAAATTTTATTCTATCTCTAACCTTTTTTTTCCAAGACTTCATAAATAGCTCCATAATTCTCCTAGCAACTGATGATTCTTCTCCTTCACTCCCTATATCCAACCCATCCCCAAATCATGTTGGTTCTATTTATAAAATACAGCTAAATTTATCTATTCTTTTCATCACCATTGTTAACACTGACATCTAAATCCTCATCTGAAATAAATAGTTTCCTAGCCTGCACAAAAAGAGAAGCATTGCCTTCCAATATCTGTCCTCCATGCTGTAAGCACAACCTATCTTCAGAGCTAAATCTGGAAATCCATTCTCCTAATCACTATGATAATATTGCCTCCTAATTAGACTGAGAGGAAGAGCCCAGCAAGATAGGGACTTGAAGAGTGGTGTGGCACAGAAACTAAGAGCTGAGTGTTTCAAGAATGAGGAGCTAGTTAGCTGTGAATATTCCTGAGAGGTAAAACAAGATGAGGAAAGAGAAGCGAACATTTTGACTTCCAGATAGCAATGCGAAAATATTGACAATTTTATAGGATATAAAATTTAATAGGATAAAAGAACTTCATAAACAGACATGATGCTACCACAGAGTGTTCTTTAAAGTTTTTCTGGGCTATGAAGTAGAAATGGGATCACAAGGTCAAAGGAGAGGTTTTTGTTTAAACGTGTATGGTGATGGGAAATGTCCAGGAGAGTAGGTAAAATTATTAATGTGGGAAGGGAGGGGTAGTGGTGTACAAACCGGTCTGCATGTGTTTATCACTCTAAAATGCACTTCAGAGTGGAGGACCTGGTCTGTGTTGTTTTCAGCTGTGTCCTAGTATCTGGAACAATGTCTGCTAGCTCACAAACTTTTTTTTAACATTGGCTGAATAAAAAAATAAATTCTACTCTTACCTTCTTCTAGTACATTCCTCCTATATCTGATAGAAATACTTTTCTAAAAAATCAGAACATGTCAGTGTTCAATTTAAAGTCATCAGTGGATCCTGTTACACTTAGAATAAAATCCCAGTTCTTTGTGACCTTAGAATCCTACATGAGTTAGCACCTTTGGCAGCCTTGTCTCCTGACACTTGCTCTCATGAATTACACTGCAGCCACAACGGCTGTCTTTAATTTCCTAACTGAAGGACTCCTTTCTCACTTTAGGACTTCATACAATAGACTTTTAAAAGTTCATGAAAATTTTGTGAATTTTTTATTTTTTAATTTTTAATTACTTTTTAACATATTTAATGTGTTTTATAGATACAGTTCAAAGAACAAAATGATATTCCCTTCCTCCCTCCCTTCCTCTCTCCTTCCTAACCTCCATCCTCCTCCCTTTCTTCTGTTTTTTTTTTTTAGTTTCTGAAATAGCATATTTTAAATTTATATTACGATAAAAAGGCTTAATATTTTGCCAAATAAAAAGTTTAACAAATGAAAAGCAAAAAGATCCTAATTTAAGGAGACTGTAGACAATGGCTATAACCAATAATTGAATGGAACTCCACTTTTTTCCATGAACTTTTTGAAGCCCTGTTGTACATGATTGTGCTCGCCAACCCCATCTCCATCATTCATGTCTCAAATGTCAACTCAGAAAGGCTTTCCCAAATGTAATAAATAGCAGGAAGGGCTCTGAAGCCACATACCTGGGCTCATATCCTGGCTCCTGGCTTACTTGCTGTGTGGCCTTAGAAACTTACATTCTGGAAACCTCATTTTCCCTTTCTATAACTTATGGATAATAATAGTCTCTGCTTTATACAGTTGTTTGGAAGAGTAAAAGAGTATCCAAAGCATGTAGGACAGAATCTGGCACATAGACAGTACTGTATAAGTGTTCACTAATAACTATTATTATTACCTGAAGTTGAGCACCTCCCACTGTTCAATTTCATTTCCATTCACCAGTCCTATTTATAGCAACTTGTAATTTTATCAGTTATTGTCAGTCTTCCTCACTAGATGCTAAACCCAAAAAGATCAGGAATTATGTTTGCTTGTTATTCTCCATGTTATCTCTAGAGCCAAATTCAGGGCCTGTCGTATAGTTAGCACACATAATACATTTATTGAATAGGTCAGAAGTTATGCTGTATATTGAAATGTCACTGTCCAAACTCCTAATCCCAGAAAACCCAATGAAATCAGTGCCCAGATCAGTCAAAGCATAGCTTTAGTTTACTATTCTACTTCTGGCAAGTCATATATGATTTTCTTTGCCTTATTTTATACCAAAGGCTTTATTCTCATACTTTTATTAATTCAATAATTTATATCAAGTTTTAATGGAAGATATTTTTTAAAAAGAGAGAATAGTTATAGAAATTGATTCAGTGTTTTGGATAGAAAGATGTTTCATTGTAACTTACATGTGATCTGATGAAATACTATTTTATGTACTACTAGGAAAGAAAAAAATGCCAATTTATGGGACAATTTTTTTTTTAAGAATTATTTATTTGGAGTCAGTGCCATGGCTCAATAGGCTAATCCTTTACCTGCGGCGCCTGCACACCGGGTTCTATTCCCAATCGGGGCACCAGATTCTGTCCTGGTTGCTCCTCTTCCAGTCCAGCTCTCTGCTGTGGCCCAGGAGTGCAGTGGACGATGGCCCAAGTCCTTGGGCCCTGCACCCAC